AGACGGGAGCAGAGAGGCGGGCAGGAGGGGGGGGGGGGGGTGGGGAGAGAGGGCGACAGTGGGAGAGATGTTGGGAGATGCTGCACCTCAGACGCACTGGAGTTGCACGTGTGAAATGGCTTTTGAACGCTTTCCTCCGTGCAGCAGGAGGTGGAGGAGGCTGAAAACGCGCTTTGTTGCCGTTGACATCGGCGGCCACCTCTCTACGCGTCGCCCTGTTGCGTTGAACGGAGCTGTTGGGTTTTTTTTTTTTTTTTGGCACCGAGTTTGATCAAAAAGACGCATCACATCACAGAACTGATTTACATGCACAGGGAATGAAAGACGTGACGATGTGAGTTTGTGTGCGTGAGTGTGTGAGTGTGTGTGTGTGTGTGTGAGTGAGTGAGATCACCATCTCCACTGCAGCCCCCACCCCCCACCCTCCCCGGCCCCTCTCTCTGTTCTTTTTAATAATTTCTTTAATCATGAATATGCAGGAAAGGAAGTGCGCAAAACGACTTGGTGCTGCTGCATTTCAGAAGAAAAACTCAACCGTGCCTTTGTTTTCAGGTTCAAGCAGAAACATTAAGGTGGCATGTTAGGTTTTCGTCTTTTCGGGATGGGGGGGAGACAAAATGAGGATGAACATGAAGCCGGAGGATGAGCGTGTGTGTGTGCGTGTGTGTGTGTGTTGGGGGGGGGGGTCAGAGCCTGAGGACGCGCGGGCATTCAGCCGCCTGTTGTTGGAAAAGAATGGACAACACACTCACCTTTCGCAGCCTGATTCCTCCTCCTGTCCTGTCCTGTCCTGTCCTGTCCCACTGCTGTTTGTTAATTCATTCAAGTCCAGACTTCAGACAAATGTACGCAACACAAAGAAAAAAAGGAGGCGAAAAAAACCCAACGCAGTAAAGTCCACAGTCCAGTCTGCTGCCGCTGCCGCTGCCGCTGCCCCTCAGCAAATCCCAAGTTCCAGCGATGCGCCGACGGGCAGCCCCAAGTGTGCGTCCGGGTCCAACCGTTCGGCGTGTGTGTGCGTGCGTGAGTGCGTGCGTTGTTTTGCGTGGCAGCCAGTAAAGATGCGGGTTTACATTGCAACGGATAAGAGGTTTCAGTGAGTCACTGCAGAGGCTCCAGAAGAAACGCAGCTGAATCTAATTGCTCTCATAGAAGGAGAGTGTCGCGAGGACAAGATTAGTGATAGAGAAACCCCGACTCTCTCTCTCTCTCTCTCTCTCTCTCTCTCACACACACACACACCACACACACACACGCTGTCTCTCTCCCTCTCTTGCCATTGGACTACACCGTCTGAAATTTACTAAGCCTGCAGCCAATGGATTGCCGCATTCTCTCCATCACCCTTAAGCAGCAGCAGCAGCATCTACTGTGTGGTGGCAGCTCTCCGTGCGTGCGTGTGCGCGCGTGTGAAGAAGCGTGGACCCCAACAGACGGGTGGACCCCAACTCTATCCTACTTTTACTTTCGGAAAAACTACATTTTCGAATATTTTGGGGGGAATTAAATTGGCAAATTCTATTTCTAGACAAGTTGGTAAACTTCCAAATATACATAGAATTAACTCCAGACAGGAAGTCAGACTGATCAAAATCGTTGAAAAATCGTTTCTCAACCTGTGGTCTGGATGTTAAGATTTGGGTTGAACAGGTGCTTTGTCTTTTCTTTTTTTCAAGCACATGTTTAGAACATATAAGAATGGAACAGGACTGGATGTACTCATATGTATATGAAAAAATGATGGTACTTCACATTCACATTATGATGATGAGAAATTCATTGATCCCACACTGGGGAAGTTGTTGTGTAAACAGCAGATCTGCTGCAGCAGTCTGACCAAGGGGAGGCGCCAACATGTGCTTCCTCTGGGGCTCGAACCCAGGACCTTGTGCTTGTAGGGCAGATGTGTTAGCAGGCGTGATAACTACTATATGGAGTAAGCAAAGAACCTAAACTGTAGGATCTTCCATACCTGTCGACTGTACAGCTCAATCTGACTGTACATGGATCAGCAGGCTGTATACAGTATATATATATATATAGTATATGTGTGTGTGCGTGTGTGTGTTTAACGGTCACTCAAGCATTAATTTAACTCACTCCCTTTATTAATAAAAAAAGCTTTTTGCGTTATATGGAGGTTTTGATTATAATTTATTTATTTAATTTCTAATATAATTTGGTTTTTATTTATAATGTTCTTTTTTACTTTTCTGATAATTGTATGTTAATTCTGAGTCATATACATTAAAATAATCCCTCAAAAAGTCACAAAGCGGAGCGTGACGTCATTGGTTGAGTTTACCTGGGGGCGGTACGGTGGATCAGAGATTCTGTGGTGGAAGAGAAGTCAGACTTCGAAGGCAGAGCCAGTCTTTGATGCCATCGTCATCTGCTCTACTCCACTCTCTTAATCTCTCTCTCTTTCTCTCTCTCTCTCCACCGTTGCGTCATATTCTCCAGTAGTCAGAGGGGCTTTTCTCCACGACCTCTGAAGTATGGGCTTCAGATGGCATGTGGCCCATGAGGCCCTCCCTGGATTGACTTGGGTGGCTTTGATGTCAGCGATGGCTTAACCCTGTGGCGGTGGAGCTCTGGATATGACATGTGTGACCTTTCTGTTAGAGCGATGGCAGACACTCTGCAGAGGAACCACCGCCAATTCACCCCCCCAAACTGCAGACGGAGTTGAATCTGTTGAATAGACAGACATGGCAGCTCAGGAATAAAGTCTAGAAGGAAGTCTCCGTCCAAGCTGAGTTTTTCATTAGATTCTTCCTCCCGACACACACCCACACACTTTTAACTGCAGCTTGATACTCACTCTGTTCTCTGGTATATACAGAGTGTTGGTGAGGCCACACTGGTAACCACTATGACTCTGGCTTATTCATTTTCTCTTAGGCTTCCAATAACAATGCAACATTGCTTAATCTATATGGGTGTGTGTGGCAGTAAAAAAAAATATTATTAACATATAAAAATTACAAATTCTCAAAAATATATTTACTTTGTGTTATATTTACGGTCAACAGAACAGTGAAAAATCTCAACACGTGACAATCCCAAAAAAATCCCAAACGTGAAAGTGGAAAATGGAGTGGTGACGGAATCCTGCAAGACTAGTACTATTTGAACTTGTTGGCGAATTTTAATGCTATTTGTCAGAACGATGGAACCATTCTTAATACATTTATTGGAGATACGTGACGTAACCCTGAAATGCCGTCGGTCAAAAGCGTGGTAACTTGAAGACCACAGCAGCTGCAGAACCTAGCGATGCGTTCACACGCGTAGGCTAAGGTAGTATTCTTGACAATACTATGTTCAGACTAATGTGGGTTGAAAACAACAATTTAAGTATATATATAATATTGTATAATTTCATGTTTAAGACACATGACATAAACCCTTTTTTTATGTAAAGTCACCTCTCACATCGTAATGAAACCGTTTTGTAAACTTTTACCACATGACACTGTGTCACATCGTTTTTCATTGTATCATTCCAGTTTTGTTGCTATAATAAATGTGTTTTACAACCTAATAAATGACAGGAAGTACATACATTTGTATAAAACTTGTATTCCCCTCCATTCCATTTCCATGCTGCTCTGCCTCTAGAAAGACACTGAAAATTAGGAAAATGAAGTTAATGAAATTATTTTTTTTATTTTTCATTGGCTTTTTTTAGATTTGAAAAAGTTCTATGTTATAGAAAATTTTGCTCCTGTAAGTAAGAAATGGATGTTGTTTTTTTTACAACATGATCATACGTCAGTGTTTATGAAGAAAACTTTACTTTGACTGGCATGCTTTTTTAAGGTACCTGCTATCGATCAGTTCTTTTACAGGAGGCCACGATGTTACGACACGAGCTGTAGCTTTTAATACCTCACAGCATGTGATGATTTTGACAAACAGCTGCAGCAACTGCAGCAGGGCTGAGAGATAAAGAGTGGGAGAGACTGGGTGGTGGTGTTGAGGAGACAGAGGGCGATGTGAGATGACAACAAGGCCTCTCTTCGGCTGTGTTAAGCACAGACTATTCCTGTCGCCTCAGGGAAGCAAACAGATACATAAAGGAGCTCAGTAAGGAGGCCGTCGAGGCTCCGTGATAGTGGATCTGTGAGCGGTGCCGCACTAAGTGAGCCAGATCACTGGTGAGAACATGTGACGACGAGGACAAGGTCTCTCTTCACAGGAACCTTGGTGACAAATAGTGCAGTTTGGACAACATTATTGAATTTCTTTTTTTTTTTTTTTTGCATTACTCGTGCAGCAGCAGAGATAAAAAGCTGATCGTTTCTCTTTTACTCTGTGCTTCAATGAAGCTTTTTTTTATTCAAAGTCGTGGAGAGACTGTAGAAATTATTTTTTATTATTATTTTAATTAAATGATAAAAGCCTGAGTGAGAGTCAGCGTGAATTAGCAACAGCTTTATTTGTATTTTAGCTCAAAGAAAAGTTAAATACTGCAATGCCATAGAAATGCAAAGAAAAATAACAAATAAAGTAGTCATTGATTACCGTACGTCAAGACGATGACTTGTAGAATGCTTGAAGAACTTAGCCGTGTTCTTTAACCATATTCATTTTCCAACAGTTTCTTAGAACCATTAGTACCTGTGCCGGTCTGTTTGTCAGCCATACATGGGTGTCATGATGGTACTTGAAGCTTGAGGTGCTTCAGTAAAATGAAAACTCTTACCTGAATTCTATGTAGATGATAAATATGTACTGACTGTGTTAGAGCAAGGATAGAAGGAACGACACATGGAATTATTGGATATAAGGTGTGCATCTTTCTATGAGTTAAAATCAACTTTTATTATTTATTGCAGTTAAAATTGACAGCTTTATTTATTATATAAATGATATAATCACTTAGTCATGTCTTTAATGAATAAAAATAGCTATTTTTCCATAGTTTGCCGATGATACCATATTTTAAAACTCCCGTTCACAGTTCCTACAAAGAAATGCCTTTTCCTTTAGATGAATCAAAAAGATAGATTCTCTAGATAAAAAAGTTTCTGGTCATCAAATTGATTTCTGATGTTGTGAATATATGTAATAAATGCAAAAATTGATTTTGAATACAACAGGTATGGTTGTATAGAGCGTCATGGTACTTGACTGGTCATTTATATAATATATTTTTTTGTGTTTACAAAGAAGCCAAAAATTTGGAAAGATCTGTTCAAACAAAACTTCATGGCTTCATACTAATACATGAGGAACATAAAGAAGTGGCCACTGACGTTATGACTGACAGGTGGCGCTGAGAAATGATGTTGTTTCATCTCGTATCATAGAAGAATGCCAGGGGATCTGTCACATCCGACATTCAGATAGTGCTGCAGCAGACTGTATAGAACATACGCGCTGGCACGCTGTCATTTATCTACATGTTACTTGACAGTGTGATCTATTGAGAGGAAAACATTGTCAGACGAGTGACACCATTTCAAACTAAGGCCGTATGAAGGTGTTGTATCTGGACCACATCCAGGCCAGGTTTGATGGTACTGTGGGCCACATGGGGGTAATCTCAGCATTATTTTTGTCTATAGTATGTGCTCCAGATCTGGTGGGGAGGGGGGCATCATCACAGGCAGTAAGTGGGCTAAATGAAGGTCCTGCATCTGCCCCACACCTGGGAGATAATCTACAACTGGGTCCAATTCTGTATGAGGTCTAACATAAGTTCTTCTACACAAGTTCGGGCACACGAGCTAAGGAGCAACCACCAGATGTTGCTAATTTTAACTGGTGTTTCTTTAAAGTTAAGGACCCCACAGTGCATAAATACTTCATTAAGGACGTGAAGACAGCATCAGTACAAGAAGTTGTAAATTATGCAGGTAAATACATGTTGTCTGAAGTCACTCTCCCTCACAGCCACGCGGTGATAAAATACAAACATAAATGTTGTACGTCTCCTCACCAGCAGCAGACTCTACTCCTGCTCCCGTACTGGTCGAACGTCAGGCGCAGCCCCATGATTTCACCTGTCAACACTCAGTCTGATGGAGCGCTGCACAAAGAGAAGGTGGCAGATCAATTGGCCACTGAAGGCAAATGTGTCTCCTCCTGATCCAAACAGATAAATAAATCCAGTCCAGTCAGACGGAGTCATAAAATACTCTTAGAGGATTTTTTTTTCACAAAGAATCTGGCACAACACAAACCTTTGTTTACACACTCACTGATAACTTAAAATCCAATTAAACCCAGGGTTTAAATGATTAACTTCACCTAGACAAGGTTTTAATTCAACAACAGAAAAAGACACAAGTGAAACATTTATTGTATCTTCA